ATGGCAAAGTATGCCAAAAGATTCCACTAAGATAAAGACAGCATGATGTGATTTGATTTTTTTACTTTTGCAATACTCTTTCTGTTGAAAAAGTGGGACAGTGAAAAATGCATTATATTATGTAGACCGCTATAAATGGTCAGATAATTGCTTTTCTTGCATGCTAATTGTCCCATTCATTATAGAACTCTGGCCTTTCTTCTTGTATATAGGAGGGTATAAGGACACTGGTGATGATCCAGGACACTCGACATTCAACGACATTTAGGGACCAATGTCTCTAAGGGGGACCGATTTAATTTCACTTTTTTGTCACAAAAAGTCTCGAGATTAACTGCTTTGAATATTCACCAGGGCTTATGTCCCTACTAAGAAAAGTCGTAGTATAAAATGTATCTTTCGTAGTTACACAGTACACAGCTTTAGTCCCACGTCACTTCCAAACTCTCAGATGTCGCCCGAGTTGCAGAGACTAGCCTGGACTTGTGCTGTGAATGCAGGTTTAAATTGGACGGAGGTCACGCTGCCGGAGTGCGTCAGAGAAAGAGAAAAAAGAAAAAAAAACGGAACTAATTATGTGCGTCCCTCGAGTCCTTTCAGAGCTCCGGTCGATCGCGGGGGATGTGTTGTGTGAAGCCGTTTTTATTTACGCTCACAAATCAACCGCAGATTCTCACAAAGGACTTTCTGCACCAGCGTTATTTGTCTGAGAGCGGTATTGGACTTAAACATGTGATAATGAGCCATATCATTACGATCGCTAATACAAATGGTAATAAAGTTAGCATGTTGCTGTTAGCATAGTATATTTGGTGCGCAGGACAGTTCAAAGTGCATTAGCCATTTTAAGTAACCAGAAGTCACAACAATTTGTTGTAGGGTGTAATAAAATGGGAAGAGGGGAAGTTTCAGTGTTGCATCACCAGTTAGAGAACAGTAGGAATGAGGAGCACACAGCACAAGATAAGTGAACAATAACTTTATATTAAAATACAATAACATATCTAACTGTAGCATAATGAAGGAGCAAGACTTTAGCATAGAATCTAATAACATGATAATTAACAGTCAAAAGCAGACATAAATTCATTCATACTAATAATTCTAGTATAAAACACACAATAGACATTTATCAGTGCATGTTATCAAACAGGTTGGACACCTGTTTGATGGGTATAAATGGTCAGAAGTGTTGAATTATTTCAATAATTTTGTGGGTAATATGTATATAAATTTATTTTCAAAGCAACAAAAACACGTTCAAACGCCCACACAGATCCAAGGTAATAATAATAACATAATGGTGACACAAACAAGACAAAACAGAACAGACCAGAAAACAAAACAATATCCACACATGACATAGTAAGGTTTTCAAAGTTAGTGAGATCTAATAGATACAATTTTTTATCATTTAAGAAGGCCAAACTTCCCATTAACTTTATGCAGTGCTAAAGTAAAATCCTCCAGTTGATGAAAAAAAAAACCTGCCTTGAGAATGTTCCAGATCTAGTAAGGCCAAAGATAAATAAATAACCTTTACTTAACCTCAGAATACAGTCCTTCAGTCACATGCACAGCTAAATAAACCTGTTTTAATCTGGATTTGAACCCTGTCAGTGGGGAATCCTGTCTTACTTTTCCAGGAAGACTGTCTCAGATTTTAGCTGCATGATTTATTTATTTTAGCCGTTTCTTTTCTTTATCTTCACTGTTCTGTATGTGCACTGCAACAAATGTCCTCACCAAATAAAGGTTCTCTTGAAAATACCTTTTACCCAGGGCTCTAACTACCTCTTTCAATGAATTGATAACAAACGGCTATATTTGTCTAAATACGAACTAAAGCGAAGCCGCCTGAAGATGTTCTTTTGGACTGCGATAACATTTAACCATTAAAATGAGACGTTTAATCTTTTTACGGCTCAATCATTAAAGTACCTTCATCAGCTCAGTGTTGGAGTTTGTGTATAGATCAGTTGAAGCTCGGGTACCTCACTTTTTTGACAGTGATAATACAGGCAGAAGGTCCTACAGAAAAGAAAATTTATGACCATTTCAGACCAGTTTAAGTTGTCGTTGTTGTATTTATTTCGAATTATGACTCATTCATTGCAAAAAAACAATAACAAAGGAAAACCTGTATATATACATTTGATAATGAGTATGTAGAAGTAGTAATGTTTCTTACCCCTTTTTACATTTTCTTTCTTTTACAACATTTCAAATGATTCAATTCAATGTTGTTTTTCTGATGAGAAAACCTGTTATCTTTTGCCTTCTGATTCACTATTTGATGCTTAGGGCTGAGAGCTGATTGGCCGAGTGAGGGTGGTCCTCTCTATGACACTTTTCTGTCTGACAAAGCTGATCTAAAGACATGGCAGAGGCCCAAACTATACATGGATGTGAAAACTAATGATAGAACCAAACTGTTTTAGAGCCAGAAACTCAATATATATAGTCAGCTGGATTTAATTACAAAGTTAAATTAGTTATGGTTTGAAAGTCAGGTACCCGAGCTTTAATAGAGTAATCACTGCAGCTCTATCGCGTGGTGAACTTTCCATCCCTGTGTGTTGGCTCTGGAACAGTTAATAAACATTCTCGCTGTCGTCACGCGTCTTCAGAGTCCTGATAACATCTCGTGGACAAAAATACTTGTTTCTGAAGTTATTTTTGGACCGACGATCATTCTCGCCACTCGATGTTTTTCCATCTCTTGAGTTTCCGTAAAATAGTGAAACTTGTGTGTTCAACCATGACATTTGCCTGTGTGTGTATATTCCAGTGTGTGTGTGTTTGTGCATGTGTGTTTAGAGAAGCTGATCCTTATCTCAAAGGTGTTTTTTCACCGAGTCAAACATCACACAGAGTGACTAAACAAGTGTAAATAAAGAAACTTGTACAATTACTCATACAGCGGCAATATTATTTCTCAGATTCTGCGCAATGTTGAAAGAAGAAATAACGAGGATTTGAGGCACCACTGGTAAAACTCGGGTTTGCGTACTTTCTCTGTTTGGCTAGAGGCTCCTTCAGTCTGATAACTTACGCAAGCATAACATGATGCCTATGGGGTGTTTAGAAAAATTGATTTCTCAGATAAGTATTGATATTTTTAACATTAGATACAATATACATGGAGTTCATCAGACTTTGTGTGGCCGTCTACCACTAACACAACCATTCAGGCGCTGTGTCATCCAGCCAACTTCAGCTCCAGCAATATAGTCATCTACTCATTGTGGAGCTCAGAAACTTTGGAACTAAGTTTATTTGTGTTCCCAAGGCATTTGTTTTTGATTGTGCCACAAAATTCCATATATGGTGCTAGTGTAGCTATGGTTTGAATCAATATGGACCTAATATCAAACCTTATTTTTAAGCCCAGAACAGAATTTAGTCAGAACAGTGGCCCTCTTACTAACAGGTTTGGATCCTGAGTTTTATACATTTTGTTTTATATTTTTTCCCAAGTTTTCCCTTTCTCTATCTAGTATTTTATATTGTCTATGCTCAGTCATGTTAAGTATATAATGTTGTGAAATAAGACTGATAGCTTTTTATATTATAGTATAATTCGTTGGGAACAGCCTGGGTACTGTCAATACTCTATTCACATTAGTCCTACTGAACTTGCGGTCCGGGGGCCAAATCCGGCCATCTAAGCAGTCTGATCTGGCCTGCTTCCAATAATATATGTTTTGTAAACTTGCTGAGTCATGGTTTTACAGTTGTTTCTTTGGGGGAATCCTTGTTTTTACTTGGCCTGTGCAGTGTAACCGATGAGACTCGTTGGGAACTTTCTAATTCTAGTTTATTGCTGGTTCAATATTGCTATAGCTGGGAAAGATTAAAAAATGTTTAGCAGTCTTGGTCATGGAGTGTTCTGTGTGATACCAAACTGTGATAAAAAAATGTTTTCTGCAGAACAGAAGCAAAACGCTATGAAATCTCAATGCATCCAAAAGAATTTCCTTTCCCCCCCTAAATTTTAACTAGGACTACGTCTCTCAGCTGGCTTGGGAACGCCTAGGGATTCCCGTGGATGAGCTGGAGTAAGTGTGTGAGGATAGGGAAGCCTGGGCGTCTCTGCTAATAGACTGCTGCCCCCACGACCCGGCAACGGAAGAAAGGGGATGATGGATGAAGTTTTTAATCATAATATTACATTTAGTCGCATCACAAGTGCAAGGTACATTTAAAGACAGTTAGAATTCAAAGTAAAAGCTGTGCAGAGGATGGAGTGATGGAGTGAATTATTTATATTTTTCTGCTACTACACCTTTACCATTGAAAGACTGGGCTGTTCTCGTATCAGTTCACTCATTTTCCAGTGCCTCTGTACGTCCTTATTTGTCAATGCGATTATCTCAAAATCTTCCTGAACATCCTTCGGAGCGTTCAATTATTAACTCAGGGGTGGTTTGATTACATGCTGCGTAATCCTCGTGGACCCCGCTGCAAGAATTGGATTAAAATGCGAGTAACTAAGATCACTTACCCGTCTGGATTTAGTGCGTTTGAAAGCGTTTTTTTTATACTGTATTTCTGTTATGTTATGACCAGACAGCAAACAGGAGGTGTCTCTGTTATCAGAAGAGACTTTCATGGTTCATGTGGTGGTTTTAAGGCAGTGTTCCCCTTTTTTCATCTATAACAAATACAGAAATATACGAAAAAATATACAAACGAAAAAATAAAAACTGAAGATACAAATAGTTATTATTCTTATCTCTGAAAGCCCTTTCTATTGTTATTTATCTTTTGTCACCACTTCCAGACACCTTTATGAGAAAATAATATATTAATGAATGCTGACAAATATGTGAAACTTTGCAATAGTTTAGTTCATGTTGATTGAACATGAAATGATCCCTAAACTAAAGGCCAGAAGTCTGACTTTTACCATAGTTATCAGGAGAGATTTGCTGCCCTTCACCACATCGTTAAACTATAGGCTCTTAATGTTGAATCTGACTTTGTTTGTCCCTCAGATGCGTGTGGATCCCATTCCCATCTGCAGCTTCTGCCTCGGGACAAAGGAGTCGAACCGGGACAAGCGGCCGGAGGAGTTGTTGTCCTGCGCAGACTGTGGCAGCAGCGGTGAGTCACAACCTTTTAATGTAGAGAAAACAACTAGCATTAGCCCACTTTAGTCTTGAATAACTTTATCTTGGTTTTGTTCTGCTTTTTGAATGACACGCTGAGACCATTAATGTACAAAGTCTGATCATCTTGTGTATGTACAATATTTCTTCTTTAAATTTGTTTGAAGCTGAATCTGTCCAGATTCAGACCGGTCCACTAAAGTTGGTCTGGTTTGGCCTGGCTTCCATTTATTTTGTTCAGGAGTGATTCATAGTCCAGGTGACTTTGAATCACATTGAGAATAAATTTTACCGTAATAGTTAGCTGTAATTTTTGCAAAATATTACACAAAATATACCTGCTTATAATTGTTTATAGATTTTGATTCACTGGCAGCTCAGGGCCTTTCTGAGTGGAGTTTGCATGTTCTCCCTGTGTCTACACAGGTTTCTTCCAGTTTCCCCAACCAGAAAAGACATGTCCAATGGGGCTATAGATACAAACTAGCCTTGAGAACATTCTGGCGTAATGTTAGCAATAGCATAAAATAAAAATATGATAAATATTAAAAAAGCTCAGTTTTGTCCTGTTATTAATGTCATTGCTATGTTGTTGGTACTAGGGATGTAAATCGGTGACCGTTTATCCGGTGGTTGACCGTCACAGCGTTAACCGGTCAAAGCTGTCGGTTAAAAAAGAGAAAAAGGGACTTCCGGGTTGGGCGTGTGTCATGGCGGCAGCATAGAGAATCAGCTCTCCGACAAAAAATAGAAGACCCCCCTGAAAGTTGTATTTTTTCCGATTTTACTTTAACCAAGGCCAAGCAGTAGTGAAGGGGGGTTATTATGACAAAAGGGAGATCAAGACAAACAAAAACCAACATTGGAAAGCACGTCGAGGAAGCAGAAGAGCGACCTAAGCTAACGGCTACAACGTGCCCTGCGGAACCTGGGCTAGCAGCTGCATTAGCCGCGAGTAAGCTAACAGGGGAGCAGCCGCTGGAAACGATGGCTGATCTCCAAACTGTACTTCAGGAAATTAAGGATTTTCGAAGAGAGAATGCAGAATCTTTCAAGGAGCTAAAAGAGGACATTAAAAACACGAACATCCGAGTTGAAGAGGCAGAAAGGCGCATTATGGAGTCGGAGGGGCGCATCCAGATGATTGAAGATGCTACTCTTGAGCTACTGGAGCTGCAAAAGCAAACCTTGTCCAGACTGACGGACCAAGAAAGCCGCTCCAGAAGAGACAATATCAGGATTCACGGGGTAAAAGAAGGTGCTGAAGAAGGGTCTCAGTCAATGATTGACTTTATTGTGACCCTGCTGAAAGAGAAGTTGGACCTGGCACCCTCACTTGACCTCATTGTCGAAAGAGCCCACCGAGCCTTAGCCGCTCGACCACCGAATGAGGCCCCGCCAAGATCAATAGTGGTAAAGCTGCAAAGTTACAGAACCAAGGAAGCCATTATAACGGCAGCGTGGCAGAAAAAGGGCTTCATGTATGAGGGAAGGAAGATAATAATTGACCACGATTATGCACCGGAGATTTTGAAACAGCGGAAGCTATATACGGAGGCAAAGAGAGTGCTTAGGGAACGTAAAATACGCTTCCAGACGCCATTCCCAGCAAAACTTCGTGTCTTTTATGATGGGGAGACGCAAATGTACAACACAGCAGCGGAGGCGACTAAGGATATGGCCACAAGAGGATACCAGGTCTCGGTGGTGCCACCAGAAGAGGACAGGTTTGAGAAGATGAGTCGCATCTGGAGTCGGGCTGAGGGAAGAGGACGTCAGGCGGACGCGCGACCTGGATACATGCAAAAGCTCAACGTTTACAGAAGATCAGTTATGGAGTGACGTAAACTCAGGAAGGTGAGAAAGAACTACTAGTAAAAAGACTCATTTCAATTCTCCAATTGATTATAAAACATGTCGGAACTGTTTTTTCTCTCGAGACTGCCATTAAGAGACATGTGTGTGTACTTTAGTACCGAGGGGGCCCTCTGGTGGTTTAGAGTCAGAGGTTTTTCCCCCGAGTCACAGTTGGACTCAATTAGGGTCAACGAAACGACCTCAGGTGTGGAAGCCGAGTTTCTTTTATTTGTTATTGTTTGTATGATTAAGTTCGATATCATTGTTTGTTCTTCTAGTAGCAGGGGGAATTATTATAGTAATCTCAAACTCTCATTGTCTGAATGCAAAACAACTTCATTAAGATCTACTCGTATAATGTGAATGGTGTTTTAAGCCCATGTAAAAGAAGTAAAATTTTAAGTAAGTTAAAGAAGGAAGGAGTGGGAATTGCCTTTTTACAGGAAACCCATCTTACAGAAAAAGAACATGAAAAGCTAAAGAGAAATGGATATTCTCAGGTATATGCTGCTTCATATAAAAACGGGTCACAGAAGAGGGGTGGCTATTTTGATATCAAGAAAAATCCCCTTTCAAAAATTATCTGTGATAAGTGACAAGGAGGGAAGATATGTACTGGTTAAAGGGAGAATAGAGGGAACATTAATTAGCTTATTGAATATATATGCACCACCAGGCTCAGACTGGTCTTTTTATAGACTAATATTTGATTTGATGACATCTGAAGGGGAGGGAATTATGATAGCGGGAGGGGACTTAAATCAAAGGTTAGATCCCCAAATGGATACTACATCAGTGGGGTCATTAAAAACGAAAGTAGCCAAAAACATTGGAGATTTGATGGGGGAACTTGCTATTATGGATGTTTGGAGAGATTTGCATCCTCTAACTAAGGACTTCACTTTTTATTCTTCCCCACATAAAATGTATTCAAGAATTGATTATTTTTTTATATATAACAAAGATAGGTACAGGGTGGAAAATTGAAATAGGGGTAATGGATCTCTCGGATCATTGTCCGGTGCACATGACCCTATTTTTGACACCTGAAAAAAAAAGAACACTCTGGCGGCTTATTGCCAATTTGCTGAGAGGAAACATTAAAGAGGAATTGAGAGTAGACATTGAGAGATTTTTGGAGGAGAATGATAATGGTGAAGTGTCCCCACCCATACTATGGGATGCATGTAAGGCTGTATTAAGAGGAAAATTGATTGCCAAATCAGCATTCTTGAAAAAACAAAAGCAAAAGAGACTAGAAACACTAAAATTAGAATTGCAAAGATTTGAACAAGAGCACAAGCAAAGTCATAATAGAGAGATATATAAAAAGTTACAAAAGAAAAAAGCAGAAATAAATGAAATTTACTCAGAAGAATTACAGAAAAAACTATTATTTACAAAGCAAAGATACTATGAGATAGGGGGGAAATCAACAAAGTTGTTAGCCTACAAGTTGAAAAAGGAACAGGCAATAAATAACATTTATAGGATGAAAAATCCCAAGACTAAAGAAGTGAAATATAAAACTGAGGACATTCAAAAGTGTTTTGAATCATATTATACAAACTTGTATGCTAAATCAAATGTGGAAGATGCTAAAAAGATGGACACGTTTTTAGACAAATTGACATTGCCAATAGTAACAGATGAGCAGAATGAAACCTTGACGTCAGAGATTACAGAAAAAGAAATTAACTTGTTAAGTTGAAAACCAACAAGTCCCCAGGAGCAGACGGATATACCTCAGAATGGTACAAGATATATAGAGACAAGCTGGTTCCAATTTTACAAAAAACATTCAATTGGGTGCTACAAAAAGGAGAGATGCCAGGCTCATGGCAGGAAGCCATTATATCAGTGATCCCAAAACAAGGAAAAGATGGGCTTGAATGTGCCAGTTACAGACCTATTAGTGTTTTAAATCAAGATTATAGATTGTTTACAGCAATATTGGCCCGCCGTATGGAAAATATATTGCCAGATATTATCCAGTTAGACCAGGCAGGTTTCATAAAAGGGAGACAGACACAGGACAATATCAGAAGAACATTACATGTGATGCAGCATATACAGGACAGACGATTAGAAGCAGTAATAATGGGGATGGATGCTGAAAAAGCTTTTGATTCAGTTGGGTGGGAATTTCTATATAGGGTGTTAAAAAAATTCAATTTCCAAAATACATTCATTAGGACTATACAAGCATTATACTCTGGTCCAACGGCAAGGATAAAGGTTAATGGGTCTTTATCAGAGAAGATTATATTGAATAGAGGTTGTAGGCAGGGCTGCTCGGCAAGCCCTCTGCTTTTTGCTATTTTTTTGGAACCCCTCAGTCAATTAATAAGGCAAAATGAAAATATTAAGGGAATACAAATGGTGGGAGGGATGCAAAAAATCTCACTATTCGCAGATGATGTTTTAATATATGTGTCGGATCCCAATACATCTATACCAGCTCTTATGTCAGCATTTGCAGATTTTGGGAAACTGTCAGGCTATAAAATAAATGTACGGAAAACCCAAGTCCTAGCTTTAAATTATAACCCAAAAGATTATGTAAAGAATAGCTACAACATTGACTGGAACATGAAATCCATAAAATACTTGGGAGTAATTTTGACAAAAGATTTGAATAAGTTAAAAGAGGCTAATTATGATCCATTAATATCTAAAATAAAGGAGGATTTTGAGAGGTGGAGTTTAATCCCATTTCTGTCAATTGCAATTGGAGGTAATCAAAGTCAACATTCTACCAAGACTACTGTACTTGTTTCAGAATCTACCTGTGGAAATTTTAAAAGAAAGAATTCAATGAATGGGATAAATTTATTTCAAGATATATTTGGCAGGGGAGGAGACCAAGAATAAAGTATAGGACAATGCAGCTAGCTAAGGGAAAGGGTGGGTTAGCCCTACCCTGTTTGAGGAGTTATTACCAAGCAGCACAAATTAAAATTTTAATGAACGTTTGTAATCCTTCATATTTTTCTAAGTGGAAAGACATAGACAACTCAAAAATACAGGGGAACCCAGTGCAAGCTTTAATTGGTGACAACAAATTATACAAACAAATCAAAGGGCAAATCAATCCGTGGCTAAATGTCTCATTGAAAGAATGGTTTGAAATGGTAA